CATCAAGTCCAACCATCAACGCAACACCACCATGCCTACTAAACCATGTCCCAAACTGCCACGTCTACACCCTTTTTGAACACCTCCAGGGACAGTGACTTCCCCACCTCTCTGGGCAGCCTCTTCCAATGCTTGACCACTCTTTCAGTAAAGAAATTTTTCCTAATATCCAATTGAAACCTGCCCTGGCGCAACTTGAGGCTATTTCCCCTCATCCTATCACCCATTACCTGGGAGAAGAGAGTGACCCCCACGTCGCTACACCCTCCCTTCAGGCAGCTGTAGAGGGCGATAAGGTCTCCCCTCAGCCTCCTCTTCTCCAGGCTAAACAACCCCAGTTCCCTCAGCCACTCCTCTTAAGACTTGTGCTCCAGACCCCTCATCAGCTTTGTTGCCCTTCTCTGGACACGCTCCAGCACCTCAGTGTCCTTCTTGAACTGAGGGGCCCCAAACTGAACACAGTATTTAAGATGCGGCCTCACCAGTGCCAAGTACAGGGGGGACAATCACCTCCCTACTCCTGCTGGCCACACTATTCCTGATACAAGCCAGGATGCTGTTGGCCCTCCTGGCCACCTGGGCACACTGCTGGCTTATATTCAGCCGGCTGTCGACCAGCACCCCAAGGTCCTTTTCGGCCTGGCATCTTTCCAGCCACTCTTCCCCAAGACTGTAGTGTTGCATGGGGTTGTTGTGACCCAAGTGCAGGATCTGTCACTTGGCCTTGTTGAATCTCATACAGTTGGCCTTGGACCATCGATCCAGCCTGTCCAGGTCCCTCTGTACAGCCTCCCTACCCTCAAGGGGATCAACAATCCCACCCAACTTGGTGTTGTCTGCAAACTTACTGCGGGTGCACTCGATCCCCTTGTCCAGGTCATTGATAAAGATGTGAAACAAGACTGGCCCCAGAACTGAGCCCAGGGGAACACTGCTTGTGACCGGCCGCCAACTGGATTTAACTCTGTTAGCTCCATTAAACTTGCTTTATTTTATGCCGAGTACTCAAACATCTTACCAATATATGAACAGAAGCGAAGTAGGGAGAACCAATACAGAGTGATATCAAAATTTAAAAATATATATCTTTGATGATGTACTGACAGTTCTTTCATATAAGGCACATTAGCAAGTAAGCTATCCTGCAACTAAAACTGATGCATTACCTTAAGAACTCTGATTCAAAGGCAACGATTACACTGTTACAATGTATAATTCATGTCATCAGCATGACATGAAAATTCAATTACGAGGCAAACACATTTTGCCTCCTCAGCAATTATTTTTTAAATCTGTGTCATACATGATAAAGATGATTGTGTAAATGACTGTATCAACAATTTACATGACTTCCCTCATAAAAGCTTCCCAAATCTAAACATTTTCTTCAGCCCTTTTCAAGAAATTGGCACTTAAAGTATATGCATAATAATATATTTTGACTACATTGAAACATTTTTTTACATAATAAAAACCAATCTGCCATAGTTCCAAAGTTTCCTGAATAGGCTTAAAATGCATCTCCCATAATCTATGCTACTTTAGTGTTAAATAATGAGGTAGCACATTGTTCCAAAATTGTTCTGAATTATGTAAACCATTTGCTACATGCTTTTTGGACTTAATTTTTTGTTTAGAGATGTTTGGTAAAGCAGTACTTTCTCTGTTCCCTGGCTTCCCGGTTTTGCTTTTCTTTTGTGGAAGCTTATTACTGTAATTTTTTCTTTTTCCTCTTCCTTTTCCTTTTTCTTTTTCTTCTTCCTCTTCCTCTCCTTCCTCCTCCTCTCCCTCATCCTCTTCTTCCTCCTCTCCCACATCCCCTTCCTCCTCCTCTCCCACATCCCCTTCCTCCTCTTCTTCTTCCCCCTCTCCCTCTTCCCCTTCCTGTTCCTCCTCCTCCCCTTTTTCTTCTCCCTCTTCTCCTTCTTCTTCCTCCCCTCCCTCTTCCTCATCTCTGTCTTCTTCCTCCACTCCGTCTTCTCCCTCTCCTTCAACTCCTTCTTCTTCCTCCTCTCCCTCTTCTTCCTCCACCCCCTCTTTTCCCTCTTCTTCTTCAACTCCCTCTTCTCCCTCTTCTTCTTCAAGTCCCTCTTCTTCCTCCTCTTCTCCTTCATCTTCTTCCACCCCTTCTCCCTCTTCTTCCTCCCCTTCTCCTTCATCTTCTTCCACCCCTTTTCCCTCATCTTCTTCCAACCCTTCTCCCTCTTCTTCATCTTCTCCTTCTTCTTCCCCTTCCTCTTCATTTTCCCACTCCTCTTCCTCCTTGTTTTCATCTTCTTCCCCCTCCTCCCCTTTTGCTTCTGCCTTTCCTCCTTCCTCTTCCTCCTCCTCATCTTCTTTTTCCTCTTCCACTTCATCCTCCCCCTCTTCTTCTTCTTCCACTCCATCCTCCCCCACCTCCTCAGTCTTCCTATTTGCATCTTCCTCTTCTTGTTCTTCTTCAGATACCTCTTCTTCTCCCCTCCCTGCCAAGGATTCTTCTAACTCCTCCTCTTCACCCTCTTTGTCTTTTTCATTCTCCCTTTCTTTGTTCTCGTCTTCATTTTCATCTTCTCCTTCCTCTTCTGTCTCTACCTCTTTGTCTTCCTCCCTCTCTCTATCTTCACCTCCTTCCTCACTCTCATCTCTTCCCTCACTTTTAATGTGTACCACCTTTTCTTTTTCAGTGTCTTCCTCTTTTGCATACTCCTTCTCCTCTCCCATATCCTCGTCCCCTCCCTCACTTAGCATTTCTTCTTCCTCCATCAACCTGCCTTCCTCATCTACTTGTTCTTTGCCATTTTCCTGATTAATCTCTTCAATCTCTTCTGCACCCTCATTCTCACTGTCACTTTCAGCCTGTGATTCCTCTCTTTCATTTTCTTCCTCATCTTTTTCCTCTTTGTCATCTCTCTCTACTGAAACGTCATCCCTATCTTTGCTAACCTCACTCTCTTCTTCCTCTCCCCCTAGTTTACCTTCATCAGTTTCATCTAGTTTTTCTTTTTCACTTTCACCCTTTCCACTGCCTTCACTTGCCTGCTCTTGATTAGATTCCTCCTCATTCTTAATTTCTAATTGCCTGTCTTCATCAGATTTAGTTTCAGAGTTTGTTTCTTCCTCATTCAGACTTTTTATATCAGTCTCTTCTACATATTCTTTCTCATTGTTTGTAGCTTGCATCTCCTCAATCTCACTGTCTTCTTTTTCTGTGTCCACATCTTTCACATTTTCTATTGTTTTCATTGTCTTCTGGATCTCTCCATCTTCATAGTAGTCCTCTTCTTTTTTCCTACTCTTATATACGTACTTTGAAAGACCATTTCTACTTTCTTCAGATGAAGATGATGACATAGTTACAGCTATTTGTTTTAAAAATTGATCCCTTTTTTTAAAACCCTTCTGCTCTTCACCGCTGTCTTCTCCTCTGACACATGTTTTTTCACATTTATCAGATTTTTCAACAACATCCTTTATTTTGTTTCGACTTTCTACTGCTTCTTGACTTTTGTTTCGACTTTCTACTGCTTCTTGACTTCCTTGCTTTTTAACGGGATTGTATTTTTGTACAATTAATGAATCAGTCTGGGGCCAATCCCTGGATGCAGAGGGAAGTACATCTATTTTAAGTGATTGCTTAGATTTAACAGCTTTTGACTTTTTATTCAAATTCAGGATTTTCCACATGTTCTTTTTCCCTTTTCACAAATCTGCATTTGTCCCTACTCACTTGTTGAACACCACTTTTCAAAGTACTAACACTTTGTGCATGCTCAGATTTACCTTTCATTTTATTTTTTTTGGCCACAGGCTTCCCTACAAAGGCACTACTTTTTTCCAAATCTTGTCCAGGTGACTCTGAAAGTGAAGACTGCTTTTGTAAAGAGCCAGAGTCTAATTTTGAGCCCTCCTTCATGAAATTAGAATCCTTGTTTTTCAGCCCACCCTTACCATCTCTTTTCAGTTTCACATTTTTATTGTTCTTCTATTCCACACGAGAAGCAGAAAATTAAAAAGAAAGAAGGAAAGCATTAAGGACAAATGACAGCAAAAGTAAAAGGTTACAAAAACATCTGAACAAGAAAAGAAACAATTTGTATGAGGGGACTGAAAGACAGCATAAAAGGTAGAGTCTTTCACATGAAATGAATTTACAAGTGCGCATATTAGAAGAAATTAACATTCGGTTGATGATAAATGTGCTACTACTCCTTTTTGACTGTTCAAGTACACAAAGTGAATGCAGGAAGAACTGGGCAGCCAGTATCATGTCCCATAAGCTAGAGCACATGCAATGTGTGAGGCTGTGCAAACAGAAGGAAAGAACTGCAGTTCTCTTACACCTTCCTCCTCCTGTCCCCTTGGGAAATCTTCTGACTCACTCACTGTTATGCTTTTTCTAATAAGTCTGAAAATCTGTTGTCTTCCTGCTTTAAATTTTACACTTATTAAACAAATTCTGCAGAATAATTTTTTAAATATAAAATAAAATGATAATGAAATATACCAGAATGCTGAAATGCTGGGATCACTTTAGGAGTGAAATAGAAAGATAATACAAAAGTATTTTAGTTTCATAATTAAAACCAGTATTACTGCTCCTTTAAATAAACTCCATGGTGAATTTCTGTAAATAAAATCTTTACTTACATTGTGTACCAAAAGTCAATTAAAATATTTCAATATCAACAAACCAGTAGAAATGTATGTTATCAGCATAAGCTACAAGGTGTATATGATAGTCTTTTGTTCCTTAAACAGGTGAAGTATTATATACTCTTATCTCAAGCTATGCTGGATATGAGGAGTTCTAAGTGTGTGTGCAAATTTTCTGACTTCTGTCAGCTTCTTAGAATTTTACCTCATGGATATTCAGAAAATTAGTAAGAGAAGGCCTACAAAATTTGCTTAGCTTTTTTAAAACTCAAAGCAAAACAATAAAGTACAAGGATAATACAGGATTATAGATCTTCTAAATATCAGTATAAGTATACATGTAGATATATAAATAGTTACAGTACCTTTTGTTTTTGGAGTGGTGATAATTTTAAGGACTGGTCACTGGGATTCAATTTCATTGCATGTGTCTGCAAAGAATAAGATCTCTATTAAAAAAATAAATATAACTAACAGGGAAAGCAGCATCAAAGCCCAGTTCTACTAAACAGAGCTATTATAAGTTATATGAACATTTTAATACTATTGCGCAGTCAGGTTGAGACAAATCTGTATGATCACTCAAGTCACCTATTTCACTTTCACTCCCTCATTTACTCCTTATAAAGAGAGAGAGTGGTAACATCTAAACTGCCTGTAGAGACTGAAAGCTACATGCCCTCTCTTACAGCCTGCCAGCACATTTTAGATCCACCTTCCGCTCACCATGAAGTTGTGGCTACAAACACCTTATTCCCTTATCATCACTACCTTCAACTTAACATCCAGTTTGATACCACAGCCTTTAAAGAACATATTCAAAGAAACATTATACAGCAGAAATTTTCATTGGAATCTTTATCTCTTCTATATAAAGCAAAAAAAAAGAAAAGGCAAGGCAACATAGAATAATACTACTAGGTGAGCAAGTATAGTGAGATTTTGGTCATCTGTTCCCATATACTCCAAATGACAAGACAATGTTCCCTGCTGCTGTTTGTTAACTACTTATGGTTTAACCACCATATTCTTTTTCAACACAGTGAGCATGGACAGTTCTGGTTTCTGACTCCCAAGAATTTGGAGCAATATGATATTGAAGGGTTTTCCTCCTCTTATCACACTTCTCAGTAAGATGTATGTTGCCACAGTTTAGAAAAATTGAAACAACCATAACTGGAAACTGTAACCGATTATTTTCACTCAGATTCAAGAAAAGCAATCTTTTTTTTTTTTATTTTCACAAGTTTGCCTGACAGAATTTTTCAAATTTACTGTCTGATAAATGTTTTAAAATTGATCCACAATGGGTACAAAAACAAAAAGGAGAACAAAGTCTAGCACAAAAAGTGTGCAGTATGTTACAAATAATGGCCATGTTATGCATCATATCTGAAAATAATTTTTTTCTTGTAAATTAAAATAAAGTTTTGTTAAATAAATTGTATGCACAAACAGATTGTTAAATTACTAAGTACTGTCAAGTACAAACAAGTAATAATTCCTGTAAAATGTGCAAACCCTCCAGCAGAACTGACAACATATCCTGAGCTGAGTCCACACTGAATTGCTCATTTGTTTCCATTCCATTGAAGTTAAAAAAAAGACAAAGAACAATGCTCTTTCCAGTGCACTGCGTTAAGGCCAGGACATGCCCTATCTGCCGGGAGAACAAAATGTTTTGGAAAGGTGTACAAGTGCTAAAGGGAACATATTTTTTAAATTAGAGAAGTACATAGACACATGCTTGGGGATCACCAAATAATCAAAGTGTCTGCATTTTGGTCTTCCCTTTAATATGATCTACCTGTACTAAAAAAAGCTTTTCCCAGAACAGGAAAAGACAACTCTCTACTTCATTTCCTTCAGTTCTCTCTCTTGGAAATCATCAAGATGAGGAAGGTCAGAGATAGAGATCACCATGTGGTATCCAGCGTCCTTCTCCTTTTCTTTCTGATATCCAGAGCTAAAGCATGGAGACGGGCTGCACTACTTGGACTGCTTCAAACTCATATTACAACATTACTTGGAAAATGAAAACAAACTTTAGCATTGGATAATGATGATATGAAATGCATGCTTATTAACAGTATGTCAGTACTTCTTGATGCCATATATGAGGTTCTGGGCTAGCTGGGAGTTCTGTACTAGAGCTTGAAATAGGATTTAGGTGCTTTGTTCTTCCCCTGCATGAAAACAATTGAATCACAGACTCATTAGTGGAATATATTACCATATTTAAGATGTCAGTTGTATCTCCAAGGTTTCTGTCATTATTTTCATTATCTGAATCTTCTTCTGCAGAACCTTCATCAGGTTTATCTTTTTGAGGATTCTTTTCTTTAAGGTAAAATAGGGGGAAGTAAACAAATACCATAGGAACAAGCAATATATAGCAAACAGAACACCCCACTCTTGCAAAGAGATTATCTCTGTTTTACTGACATAGGACAGAAGTCCTGAGATTCCTCATTCCCCCAGCCTAAGACACAGCAGAAACACTTACACCTCCTTTTTATCAGTATTAACATTAGCTCAGCAATCTGGCCTCCATGCACTGTATATGTCTGACCATTTTTGCAGGCTTTCAAAGCATAAATATTACATGGGACAAAGCTTCTTTTGGATAATCTCTTTAATAATAGTGTACCAATTAGACTAAATTAGCTGCAGTCATATCATCTACATTGCACGTTAGCTGTGTAACGGATGGAGAGACAGTGAGTTTAACTCCAATGCAGCATCATAAAAATGTACCTACATAATTTTCAGGTTCACCTCAAGATCATCAAGTATATGACCAGTTTCATATGGCACAAAACCTGAGGTTTTGGGCCTCAGAAGACTATAAAGGCAATTCAAATTTCACTGCATTGCTTTTCTGGAACCAGAAATGCTAACAGACATGCTGGCAGCTTTACAAATAATCATCTTAATTCTAACTGAATTAATTACTTTCAAACTGGATTTGACTGTCCAATAAATCTGAGCTAACTTTTGCACAGAAGCACTGCATTCTGCACTCTTCAGCACTGCTCTTCCCAGAAAACCACACATGCCCAGGAACCCAGATGAAGTTCAGAACTGCTCTAGAGAATCTGTGCAGAAGTCCAGCACTGTATCAGTATCACTGTTATCCAGGCTTTTGAATTAGCTAGACTATTGCAAATCCTTATTATCTTAGATAACAGAGAGTGAAGAGCACTTCTGCATTTACAAGTGAAGAAAATCCTGTAAGAATTAGTAGACCTCTTCTCTTATCCAAGGTCTCTTGTAGGCCTTCCTGTGTCTTTACAACTGTTCCTAATCAATGTTTTTCTGTAATTCCTTTTTTTTTTTTTTTTGGTGAAAATGGAGAAAGTGGTTACTAATCTTACAGTATTTTTGTGAAGTCATATTTCTATGGGCTTGAGGAACCTCAGGTACAATTCAGAAGTTCTTTTTCTTTCACTCAACCCTCCTCTTAATCTTTAAGCACATTAACTAGGTGTGAGGCAATTTCTTGTATGCATTTCTCACTTTCATGTCTGTATTCTGCCAGACCCTCCTGAGGTAAGACTGAACTTAAACCTTCTTTCATGTTCAAACTGAGCATTTGTTTATGAATGATGAGAGCCAAACTACATAATTCTCAGAAACCAGCAACAAAATGTGGGAACACTTCACCTTTTTCATGGTCTCTACCCTTCACAGGTTCAGCTTTAGGAAGACTTCTTGCAGAAAAACAGAGTGGGCTAGTGTTGCTAGTCATAGGCAATGAAGATTTTAAGAAGCTTTCTCCCAGTGGAGGCAGAGTTCGTGCCATTCGAATAAACTGTTCTGGTGACTTTTCCTTTAGAAGATTAAAAAAAATTATTGAGAATAAGAGTAGAAGAATACAATGTAATCAACCTCTCACACTTAACAGTGGTATTTTCCTTTAGTTGATGATACAATTTTGTATGCAAAGCATAAACAAAATTTCTTGAATATTTTAATTATTTATAAAAAGTGGAGAGATATAGTGGGATATTTTAGGTCATTTGTACACAATAATCTCAAGCAGTCTTAAAATATAGACAAAGGATAAAAAGAATATAATTTTTTATTTAAAATGAAAACACTAGTTTCTCAAATAACACTGAGCTACTTAATCCACAGCATCAATATATTTTTAAAAAATAAATGTGGTTCTGTGGTAGAGTTAGTTTTCAGACAGGTAAGTGAAATGATCCAACTCACTGCTAAAGAAATCACATGGAATGTGTAGTGGAGATAAAGGAGAAGAAACTACTATTTTAAGTAGCTACAGGACCTTAGGTTCATTTTAAGCTGATCGTGAAACTTTTCCCTTTGATATTTTATAAACTATGTTTAATCTATTCAAGGACTCAGAGGTAACACCAAAAAGAGTCAGATTCTTGTTATTTTTTTTTCTATATTTCTAAGATATTTTTTTAAAAGTAAAGGAACAGGCCCTACATTTTAGAATAAAAAAAATACAAAACCAATTTGAGTCCTTCTCATAGAAATAAACAAGTAAAACCTGACCAATACCCATCTTTTACCTGCATCAATTTTGGGACCAGGGTAGATATTCATTCTACTTTTTATACATGAAAAATAAACACATATTTTAAGGAAATATATTTATCTGCTGGGTATATGCTGTGATTTTAGTTAAAAAAGTTATTTTGTTTCCCAAAACAAGTATGGCAACTCTGAACAGCTCTGAATTTACCCTCTCTCGACGTCGCATTCGTGCTGATGTTAGTTGTAAGGTGTTTGTTAGTAGTGAGTCTCCACTGATTTTAGAGGTAGTAGCAGTCAAACGGCTCTCATATAAATCTTCTAAGGGTATTTCTTCAGATCCTTTAGGTCTTGGAGCAGCAAAAACTAGCATGTGACAACCACCACAAGCAACCTACAATACCAAAAAAAAGGTCTGCTTATTTCATTTGCAAGTATCAATACAAGGCTCTAATTTTCTTATAATCATCTCCAGAGACCTCGATTATAAGAAAAACATAACAAAAGTAAGAGATGTTAAATTGCTTCAAATTCAGCTCCTAGTGATGTTAGCAAGACAAAAGTACATAATTACAATTATTAATGACTAGGGATCTATGTTCATTTCTTCTTACTTAGATACAACATATTTGTATTGAACAGAACACAAGATAGGTCTACCAAATTATTGATACAGAAGAAAGCAAAGATATTTCCACTGATTTTAAAGGGATTGGAGCAAATTATTTTTATGCAAGTCAAATGTGGGCAATGCTGATAACTTCAGTGATATAAATCTAGATATTTTATCAGAAAATCTACAAAATGTAATGCGAAGTCCTACACCCTCCAATAGACAAAGTGTAGTTACATAAAGATCAGAGGTTTCACTTTCTAAAAAGTTGAAATCCCCTACCACTTCTGATAAAAATTCCTTAAACTCTTAAGTCCAATAAGCAAATAGAAGTGAGCCACAGACTTTTGTCCCAAATTTTGCTCAATCCTGAGTCTTGTTTTTGATGATGGCAATTCTGTGAAATTTATTTCTAAAACACCTCAGGAAAAAGATGAACACAATGCCCTTAAAAGAAAACAGTATTCCTCCTTTTTCATCCCATTTGGATTCAAAAAAGCAACTCCTCAAATTTTCTTAAGATTTAATAAATATCCCACTGTACAATTGTTAAAATTAAAAAGATGTCTTCAGAACAGATACTAGTTTCCCCCCTACCCTTCCCTGCCAACAAATACTTAATTTTACAGGCTGCTACCAGCTCTACAGCACAACACTACTGAATAAAATCCAAAAAAGCAATCTATATCTGTAGTGCAAGCCAAGTATATTCTAAGCTAAATGAGCAGTGTGATAAGTAAATATAATTTCCTTTTTCTTTCAATTAGTGTTGTCTACTAATTAAATGTTGTAGAAGAAAATACTTCTATAATGAGATTTCAAGTCTCGTTAATAACATTTCACAAAAATGTAAGCATTTTGATGTCTGAGAAACACAAACAAAAGTTTTACCAGAAGGACTGTGAACCTCAAGAAATTATAACACAGAGTGGGATCAAACTGATTTGTAAAATTCTCTTCTCCAAGTCCTAACTTGCCGTGTCGCCCATCTCCAAAAGTAAACATGAGGCCATTCTCTGTATACAGAAAAAAAAAAGATGTTATTAATAACAAAGATTCACTACAAAACCAGGACAAAGCCATTACAAAGTAACAGGCCATGCAAGTAAGGAGTATTTCTCTTCCAAAAGCAAAACCTGAAAAATTATTTTCAGATTTTCAACAGATGAATATGATCCAAAAATATACATATTTTCAGACAAAGTACTGTCAGAGATTAGAGTTAGTCTAGACAACTTTGGAAAAAAAAACCCGACAACAAAACACTAAGATTGAAACTGTATAGCAAAACAAAGGCTTCTAATCAAGAATCCTTGTTAGCAAGGCATGATTATGAGGTTACAATTCCCCAAGAGATACCGTGTACAGAACTACCTATGGCATGGCTGTGAATCAGAAATTCCTAATATCAGATCTGGCTTTATCACTAGCTCACTTAACCTTTAGAATGGGTAAGTATGCATACATCATCTTCTACTGCTCATTTTATAAAGAAAGCTTTTACAGTATAATAGAGAGCCACTGGAAGTGCAGTTCAGAATTTTTCACTTACATACCTGCAATTACAGCAGTATGATTTTCCCCACATGTAATGTTACATATTTTATGCCTCCTCAAGTGTTTCACAGACTTCGGTACTGAAGTTTCAAATGTAAAAGTACCATGTCCCAGCTGCCCATATTGTCCAAGCCCAAAAGTATATACATCTGTCTCTGAAAATGTACAGGCAAAGTTAACAACAAATATACTGATATGTACATTATAACCTGCTTTCTATTAGCCAAGTGAAAGTAAAATTACATCAGCATCAATAAGCAATGGTTTATCAATTAAAAAATGTACCAACTAATCAATTAATTTCTCAATTAAGAACAAAATAAAACAAAATAAAAAACAAGCAATGAAGCACTAAAATATATACAGAGAAGAATTTTGAATGGTTCAATATGCAATATATTTTCTAACTGCAAAATAATCCACTGATCACATGTAGACAAAATATTTATGTGAGTTTACATACTGCAATTAATTCAAGACCACAATGTTTACATATATGTGCATTTTCAAGTACAGCAGTCTCATCTTAATTTCTCGTTACCCGAACATACACTGTATGACCCTAAATTTAATAGACTAGGCCTCTTTAAACCAATAATAATCTGTGTGTAAGAAGAGACTAGAACAATAATAGAATAGGTTTCAGTATTCTGTTCAGCTACCAAATCAGCCCTGCATTAAATACAGAGCACACTATAATTATGTTATCTTGTGACAGCATAATCATCTTTCCACGTTTATATTTTGTCCATTTAATGGATTGTCTGTGCCAGGAAAAAGAATGGGAGCTTCTCCAAAGCAATAAAGATTCTTGGTGTGTCCGTCCCTGGCAGTCCATCACAACAGAGGAAGACTGTGAAGCTTGGAAATCTTGATGAGGTCATGCTTGAAAAGGGAAATTCAAAAACTCTTTTTTTTGGGAAAAAGGAGAAGTTTTCCTGGAATTTTATTCCCTGCCCCTTTTTCTTCTGCATGTAGGCAACAAAGGAAAAAGCTAGAGAAGCACTAATTAAAACTTGAAAAATTGTTATGAAAACCTGTGAAAGATTGAGAAGGACAAAAAATATTCTATGTCAAGCAAAAAGAACTGAGACTTGGGAGCAATATATCGTTACATCATTGTCATGAACATGGGGCATGCCTGCTCCTGCTGTGCAGGTGCCATCAGGTCAAAAACCTCACCACCTTCCAAAGCAAGAGAAGAATGGGAATCCACAGCTGAATGTGTGGAAATCAACTGAGAATCTTTGCTTTTTGAGCAAAAAAGCTCTTCAGGGAAACAAGGTCACTAGAAGAGCAAAGTAAGTTTCAGTGCCACAAAAGTAGTTTACACTGTGCAACCAAATTCTCAGAGCAGCCACAAACTGGAGAAATATTAGAAATAAACTATGTTACGACCAGATTCCACAATACTACCATAGTACACTTAATAATTTAGATTGAACTTTCCAATTTCAAAAGAACCATGCTCAAATACTGTAACAGTACATACGGAAATGTTCTTTCTAGGAAAGGGTTTGCCCTTTCTGTCCCTTTTAAATTGTTCCATATTAAGATGTCATGAATTCACACCATAAAAAAAAAACTCCAATGGTCTCACACTTTTTCCCATTGTAGATGAAAAATATTTAGTAAAGCTGTTTTTCTACTAAATGTAATAGTAAAGCTCCCTCTGCTGGAAATTTCAGTGCAAGAAAGCAACACCTCGGGATCTTTGAAAAGTAAAACAAGAAGTAAGAATTTTTCTGTAACATCTAGGGTTTCTGGATAGGAATCAAGAAACTACTCCTGAAAGGAGCTTTCTCTAAGCGAACTAAAGTCTCATCTTCATGTTCATAAATGGCTTTCTCAGGATGGCTTATTCCATAAATTCTACTTAAAAGTACTGCATTTGTTTTAACATTTCTTTGGAAACTGGCAGATCTTTTCATTTTCAAACTATATGGCTGTGTCTGATTAACATAATTCTTTTGAGCGAAGTCAAGAGTTTTTTCATATTATCTTTAATCCTAGCTTGAAACACACAATGCCTTTTTCATAAAACAAGTTAGATCTCTAAAGGCAGTTGTGTTTAGAGGGAGATGTTCTCAAATGGTAACTTTAAAAGTACAGGAAACTATTTTCTTTCCCCAATTTTTACTGACAATGAGGAGAATGGGCCAATCCAAACCCAGGTTAGCGCGCCTTTGTAAGAAGAACGATTTTTCCTACTGCCCTTATAGACCAGGAGCACCTAAATTTCATTCCTCCTACAATCCACTTGGAAGACAAAAACACTACACCTATCTTATATGATTCACTGCCCTGGTGTAGAAGTGAAGCCAAACCCCAGTAATAATCCCATTTAGAAGAAATGAGGTATTTCCTCCAATCTGCCACTTATAAGCACATAGAAAGAGAAATGTATGGCAAAGCAACCTCATAGACTAGTGATAAAATGACAGAGGTGAATTTCATCATTCTGAGCTTGAATTTAACTACAGCATGAATCCAGAAGGAGATACCACCTCACTGTCACCTTCTTCTTACTGCCCTCAGTCCCAGTAAGGATACAGTTGGATGAAACAAATGAAACGCACTGCCAGCATAATGGGTAGGTTTTGCTCTCCCATTCTCTCTCTCCAGTCCTCACTTACACTATCTCTGCTGTGGTGAGCCAGCTCAGCTCAGTAAGCCAGGTTTGGAGGGGGGGTGTGTCGCTGATATAGATTCCTGTGGAATGGTCAAGGCAGCACCAGAGGGGTACAAGGGGAAAGACATACGGCCACAGCAGCAGGGGGGAAGCAGCACTGCCTCCAGGACATCAGTGAATCACAAGGAAGGTTCAGCTGTATTAGCAGCACCCAGAAGAAACAGAACACAAGTCCTGTCTTGGCCTCGAGGAAGCAACTGCTGCCTCCACAGCAGCAGCCCATGAGAAGGGCCTTGAAGGATGAATCACAGAATCACAGAATGGCAAGGGTGGAAGGGACCTTGGGAGATCATGCAGTCCAACCCCCCTGCTAAAGCAGGCTCACCCAGAGCAGGTTGCACAGGACATTGTCCAGGCAGGCTTTGAATATTTCCAGAGAAGGAGACTCCACAGCCCCTCTGGGCAGCCTGTTCCAGTGCTCTGTCACCCTCAAAGAAGTTCTTCCTCATATACAACTGAAACCTCTTATGTTTCAGTTTGTGCCCATTGCCCCTTGTCCTGTCGCTGGGCACCACTGAGAAGAGTCTGTCTCCGTCCTCATGATGTCCACCCTTGAGATACTTGTACATGTTGATGAGATCCCCTCTCAGTCTTCTCTTCTTCAGGCTAAACAAGCCCAACTCTCTCAGCCTTTCCTCACAGAGGAGATGCTCCAGTCCCCTCATCATCTTTGTTGCATCCTCTGGACTCTCTCTAGAAGTTCCTCATCTTTCTTGAACTGGGGAGCCCAGAACTGCACACAGTGCTCCAGGTAGGGTCTCACCATGGCAGAGTAGAGGGGGAGGATACCCTCCCTCGACGTGCTGGCCACACTCCTCTTAATGTGCCCCAGGCTGCCATTGGCCTTCTTGGCAAGAAGGGCATGCTGCTGGCTCATGGTGAGTGGACGTATCAGCCACTCCTCCCAGTTTTGTGTCATCAGTGAACTTGCTGAGGGTACACTCTGTCCCCTCATCCAGGTCACTGATGAATAAATTGAACAAGACTGGGCCAAGTACCGAGCCCTGGGGAAGAGAAGCAGTTTCAGAGCTTGCACAGAAGCCAATAGCTTTGCCGTTCCAAGTGACATCCAGCACTTGAGTGCTGGGACTGCTGCTCCTTTACTTCCTACATCTTCTTTTTTGGAAGAACAGGGATATTTCCCTGTAACTGTGTATCTTCCACCTTTGCAGGCACCTTCTGGAGTACATAACATGTACCATGACCATTGTCACTATAAATAAAATAGTCCTAAACAAAAATCTGTATAGTTTTCAGATTTTTTTTTTTAAACATGTGCTATTTGCTGAAAGAACTGAGTGAGCTCCAAGAGTGTCTTTAAGATTCATGCATTCCTTTAAGGCTACAGAGAAAGTTAAAAGTCCGTGGAAGAAAACCAGAAACAGACAGGTATGCTTATATCTCTCCACATAGATTCATGTCCCTTGAACATTTATTATTATTATTATTATTACTAGTACTACTAGTACTACTATTATGCCAATGGGCTATTGACTCTTAAAATAGCTTTATTTTTAAACAGCTTATGCTGAAGAATGTTACTGGAAAAATCAGCTGTGGACACAATACTCAGTTTTACGAGAGCTAGTAATTGGATTTGGAGATTTCAGTATTAATAGTATACAGACTTAAGAATAGTTTGAAAAATCTAGATAATCCTATACGGTTTGAACAGCCAGTTCTGTCATGAAAAGGTAGAGCTTTTTCATCCTTTTCATTCTCTGTCAAAAGGGTATCTTGACTTCCTTTTCTTTTTAAAAGACCTTGAGAAAGAAGATGAGAAATCCAACATTTTACATACTAACACATTAATGTGCTGCATTGTTATGCCAAACGGTCTATTCTCGAAGGAGTGCTTCACTTTTTCCTTTGAAGAGGTATCTTTGCTTTCCCTCCCTCCAGAGAATAAAAGGAGGTAATATCTCTTTTATAGAGAGGATTATTCCCAGAGGATCTGACATCATCTGAAAAAATGGAAGATATTAAGGCCACTCCCAATCATCTGTTTCTTCAATTTCTAGATTCACAAGTTATAATTATTCTACTTTTTAAAAAGCTTTACTGAAAAAGTACTCAAACTGGGATTGTTGCACTCTCATATTTCTTTGAAAGTGATGATAGCAACAGCTTTCATTTTCAGTAGCAAGCATTTGCAAGCACTGTAGGTAGTGGATGCATTTATTTTAGTCTCTGAGAGAAATTACCTGGGATGAGGATAAGATCTTGAACAGGCTGATAGACTGTCATGAAAGGAATAGGTTTGTGCTGCTACAGTGAGAGAAAGCTTTTGCATGACGGAATTTTTAACTGTGATTCTGTTTATTCTCTAGAACAGCTGCAAATGTTAAAGGCAGAAGTAACAATAAGACTTGTAAAGAAGATGGTTTCCAATACCATATTCAACATTTCTAAAACCTTGAACCTTTAAAAAGTCTTTTTCCAAATCATCACTCTCAACAGTTTAATTTTTTGATCTCTGGAAATAAAATTGAGTTTTCCATTTTGGAGTTTCAGAGAAAAACAAAGGAATTATTTTAATATATACTTTCTACCATTTACTCCGATACTTGCTGGAGAGATTCCAGACAGTAGTTTGATTTAATAACCCAGATAACAGTGGTTCTTACCAGACAAAATTGCCAATAGAATAGATAAGACAGTCATAAAAAAGAAATCAAATTAAGTGCTTTGGAATGGACTAATTATGTATGAGAGTCAGGAAGAAACTTGCCTCGTATTCAGTAAAATAACTGGATTATGCTTTCTTCTAATTTGATAAACCCTACATAGAACTGATGACAAGAAATGAGCCAAGATGTGCAACAGTTTCTCCACATGGCATTTTCTCCTATCCTATTCCTATGTTAAATGAGATAGATGAAACAGGGGAATATACAATAGTCAGACACTCACTTCTTATTTTTTAAGACTGAAAAACCAGAAAGACCCTGAAAAGATGAAAAATGCATCTATATATATTGTGTTACTAAAGCCAAGCAGCAGCCATTTTCATAGAAGATGGTACATGAAATCCAGAATTTCTTGAAAATTATACTACTTTCTTAATTTAGGAAAATGAGCTTAAAAGAGGTATAAGTGTTTCTGCTCCTCTTTAAAGACAAAACCCTCATCAGAATTCTCAATTTGTAGTCACACCACTTCATTTCAAGATGCCATATAAACTTCAGTACTGATTTCTAGTGCAAAGACAATATTACATGTACACTACACTCACTTTTTAAATTATTGCAGTGTCCAAATCTATCACTTTTCCCAATTTTTTCCCCAAATTTTGTTTTGAGTCAGAAAAACTTCTGTATGTCAACATTCCTGACAAAGTATCTTTCACTTGAGACAGTATTTCCATTATCCTCTACTCTTTTGTTCAAAGTGTCTTAGGCAGAAGTTCATAGCTGTTGCATATTTAATAATAGCTGAATCACATTAAAAACATCTGTCTGACCTTTCACTTTTATCACAAGAACTATTAATCTTTAGGCAAGTATATTTTATTGGAGGGTACTGTTTTCCTCTTCTCTTGACTCAGCTGGATCTTCTGGCACTCAACACTTTGATCATTGACTTCCAACTAAGCCAACACTGACTTTCTTATTTGCTTTCTACTACAAAATCTATTTCCATAGGCAATCTTACACACTAAGATACTGACTTACTGTGGTGTTTTCTTCACTGTATTTGTTTTTTGGTTTTTATATTTTGCCTCTCTGTTCTAGCTCTTGTATAGATTTCACTATAACACTGATGACATCCAGGTCTACATATTCCTACTAAATCTCTGTAACAGTCATTTGTTATAATGAAATTTTATCACATGAAATACCATTAAAAGAAAATATCTATTGGTTGGCCTCAGATTTATGGTTAAAAATATGATCAATAATGATAATCAAATTCTTTCTGCAGAACTTCACTTTATAACCCATAAAATAATACTATGATTTATACATTTGCTGGCCCCAAATTTATAGTAATTTTTTTCCTAATAATGATAATCTGATTTCACATAAAGAAATTTATTTTATGACACAGAATACTGCTAGGGTAAGACTGTATCTTGGTGGAAGAAGAGACACAAAGGCACTGAAATGTAGACAAGTGTTTGCAGTATTTCCTGGATTGGCTACTGTTATTTCCTCTTCAACATTTTCCCAAAGGAGTTTTAACCCATCCAGAATCTTGCAGCTTGGCTCATCATTACACATAACCTTTCCCAGCACATAACTTCCACCTTTACTCTCTCTAGTGGCTTGCAGTACAATACCACATCATATTACTTATAATTTCAGTTAGATTTTCAATTTATACTTAAGAAATTTTGGTTACATAACCTTGAAGGCATTCCACCAGACTGACAAGAGATGACTTTAGCATTTTTAAAATACAGATTTAAGGACTGATATCTATACATCCTACTTGGTTTTATAGTTTTTCCATTTTGGTAGGAGATGAATTACAGGCATATTATACACCTGTGGAATTCATTATAAGCCAAAGCTGATATTTTTTAAATCATCTGTGGGCAAAGTCAAACTCCCCTTTCCTGCTTCTGCACTGCTATAGTTCAGGATAGAAATAAAGAGCTAGCAATGCTTTGCATATATCTCTTTGAAAAGCTAATTTACCATTGTTACACAACTATTTAATAGTACAGTAATATACACCACATTTCATCTTCCAAGTATAAACTGTAAACTGGTATGTAACAGTTGTATTTGCTGATTTTTATAACTTGTATGATATGCTGAATGTCTGTATCTGTACTAGTTTTATATGTATGCTAAAGATTCTGCTCAAAGTCACAGGCAAATTCTGTATCACAACAAGAGATATCTAATCCATTTAGGCATCCAGAAGATTGTGCATCTCCACCACTATTAACAGACATCTACTTGAAAAGTGAATTTCTAAATATTCAGGATCATTTAAATTTACTACAGAATGGAAGCTTTCCTCTAAAGCTTCCCCCCTCACACCAATACTACTTTCAAGCTCCTCAGAGGAAAGAAACATCAATCATCCATGTTGAACTAGGAGGTGCTGGCTTCTTACAATTCCAGTAAGAAAGGCACTCAGACTCTGTAAAGAATCTCTTATAATGCTATTTATTGGAGCTAAGACTATAAAGAAAAAGAAGATAGTATCAATAATCTCATATCCCTTCAGACACTGAGAATCCTGAGCTATGTGGAGTAGAACAGGCCTCCAACCAGGCACAGCATGCTACGCAGATCCCATCTGTGGAAGGTTACCCCATTTTGGTCATTTGAGCTCTTATAGGATTTCTTATAAGCAAAACAACTCTATTCATCATTTACACTGTCAAATAAAAAGGACATTCACATGGGAAATTGCTGCTGGAGTTTTAGATAAAGGCAAGGACATGCAGGTGGTGTAGCCACTGGTACCAAGCAGGAGCCCCCTGTAAGCTGAAGTCTATCCCTCAGCACAGGCCTGAATATCAAACTACACGCACAGCACAGCACAGGCCTGCACTTCGGTTAACTTTCCTATTACAAGGATTTCTGCCTCCTTGACATACCATGGTCTTCCAGTTAGGATCACTACAGCACCCTACATTTCAGTGGGATGTAAATTCTTTAAAGTAAATTTAGTTTACCAATTAAGTTATAGGGCTGTAAAACCAGCCAGTTAAATTGCATACCTGTCAGCACCACTGTGTGCTCTCCGCCACAAGCAACCTTATTAACCTTTTCCATAATTCCCAGTACAGGCTGTGGGACTCTATTGTTCTTCAGCTGTTCAGGCAATAATCCCAGTTTCCCATTCTCAGGTTCTCCAAAAGTATAGAGCTCACCATCTCCTGTGAAGGCACAGAACAGAGCAGGTTTTCCAGCACGGCTTCAGAAGCAAGGATGGCTTGTCAAGACATTACAGGATAATTGAACGTATTTGTATAATGTCCAAACAGCTGTGCAAAGCAGTCTGCTTTGATGGGACAAGAAGGGGCTAAATTTTAGTCGTGTCCCCCCCCCCCGCAAGATGAGAACCGCAATATTTAGCCCGCAAGAATCCAGCCAAGGGAAAACCAAAACCATATACATTCTGCTTCTGAGAGGTTATAATTCCCTCTGTAATCAAAAACCATATACATCCTGCTTCTGAGAGGTTATAATTCCCTCTGTAATCAGTATTTATGTCAACTGAAGTTGCTTGTAAAAATCTCAGTTAAAACAGAAAATAATTTTGAATGGAATTTTGATAGAAAATACACACTTTCTTCTTGTAAGATATAGAGAAAAAAAAGAAAAAAGCAGAGTAAATGACATTAAACTGTGTGTGGTCTGGACAGCAAGAAAGGAGCTAAATGTTCAACAGGAATATGGCAGTGGTTCCATACTCCACCAGAATTAAGTCCAAAAAATACACTGAGAAGTCTTTACAGATGTCTTCCTATAACTTGTTTCAGATCTGCTACATAATCATACAAGAAGACCCTTCTCATTCACCCAGACTTTTTAAGAATCCAGTTCAAAAACTATTCAATCCCAAATTTGGGTAATTAATTTTACTTTCAAGTTTACTTTGTTTTATCTTTTCCAATCACTCCCTTTGCTCTTCCACTGCTATGTAAATCTGAATTACCATTCAAGACAGCATTCTACATATCGTACCATGGTTAAAAACAGAACATGTAAAACATACTTTCCATCGCTATATTTACAATTTATCTACGTTTATCTCCATCTTTTACATTTACCTATACTTTACATTTTTCTACATCTTTTTTTTTTTTTACAATTTATCTACATCTACATTTATGATTTTCTGTGCTAAGGGGCTCCCAACTATTCTAATAGGTCAGAGTGAGGTTTAGGTAGAAAACATTTCCTTACTGCCAGGAAAGGTCCAAGTCAATAGCTGAGTCTTCTCCGCTCCTGAAAAAGATTATCTGTGGACCAGTGTCCTTGTAGCAAATTGGGGCCCACAATCTGAATTTGAAATTACTTACCAAAAAATCATCATACACTATTATGTAAGAAAAAGGGTTTTAATCCCAGTTAGATATAACAAAGCACAAGGATAAACAGAACTCTCACATGGAGCTAGTCCAAGATAAAGAAATGTTTAAACTAGTGTAGGAGCTGCCCGCTAAAGGAAATTCAGAGAGATAGCTACAGTTACGTAATCAACATAATTACAAACCCCAGGCGTATACTCCATCATTACAGCTCAGTCATCAGAATCACCCATCTACAGTATTTTTGGAAACCTGCAGATTGGTACTTCAGAACAAAATGTACTTTTATTTTCAGAGGGATACATTCAGTGTTTTCAGAGGGATACATTCAGTGTTCACAAATATATAGCATTTAGAGGCATTACTATTGCATGATGCACAAGTATCTGAGAGATTCTTATCCAAAAGTGATGAATTCCTTGCCAACGTGGAAGTTTGGTTAATCTTAGAAATGCTGGTCCTTCCCCACAGACAATGAAACCAGATGAGCTCAAAGAAACTTTCAAAGTTGAAGCCTTATTTAGGTGTTCAGAACTGACCATTAAAGAAGTCCATCCCTCTCTCCATTGAACATAGGCAGAGCATAAGGAAACAAGCTTATTACCAGTATTCTGTAAGTCTTTGTGAATATTCCTCCATTTGCATAGCTGCTACACTTGTTGCATTTTCCTTGCACTTTGTCAGCCACAACTTAAAATTTGGGACTTTAAGGACCACAAAAATTACCAAAAAAATAAGCCTACCCAGAAATAGGAAATATGGAAGACCTAAAAGCAAACCTATGAATAAAAATGTAAATTAGAAACAAATGAAGCTACATATGCATTCTAGAAAGCAAAGGAGATTAGTCAAGTTGTTAAAAACAAGTTAATAAAAATTGAAGGATGCAATTCAAAATGAACTGAAGTTTATTAAAACTTGGGCATACCAAGCCAAGATGGGAATTTTATCTTTTTGAATTTTTAATTCTGATGATGAGAAAATCAAAACTGGTGTCAGTAAGAAATGTGTCATTTTTATTGAATATTCCTGAGATTCAGTCTGGCAATACACCCATTTAAAATTTCCTTTTGCATGAACAAAAACTGAGCGAGAATTTCAGATTGCAAAACCACATCTTCATTTTGTATAATTATGGGACAACTAGTTAGGAACATATTTTCATTTAAGTCATCTCGTGAATGCAATAGATAAACTAGATGCTAAATGTTTTTCCTGGAAAACACTTTTGCTAGAGAGATATATATTATTTTTTTCTTTGTGGCACTCGGCTCTTGATCACTTTGTGCTAAAGAGTGACTACAGCAGTGGGTGCATAGAACAGAGCAGCATAGACTGCTTTTACCAGGACCCTCCATCAGAAGGGCTTTGATTCATTCTGAAAATCCTTAAACTACTATATCTTTTAATAAAGCAGTGCTTCTCCTCCCATCCTCTCAGAGGAAGTAATTCTGGAGCAGTCATGCTGATCTGTGATGTATGTTACCTTTAGTATCGACAGTCCACAAAAAGCAAGAAACGATTGTCTAAATTATCATCTCTTTTCTTCAATGAAAGCCCAAGGACAGGTTTTCAAAGAATTGTAACTATAGGGAGAATATGAAGTATATCTCTTATTTTATGGTAAAATTCATTCAGGACAAAAAAAAAAAGAGGTTATGCATTTTTTATGATACCTCAGATTTAAAATAATTTAAATGCATAAATATATCAATTAACTTAAAAATTCTGAAAAAATGTATGACATACTCAAAGATCAAAAACTGTAAAAAAGACTTTTTTCATAAAAGCCAAATTCCTGCTTTAGAATAGAAAATGGGTCCTAAGCCTCAACATAAAGTTGCAACCCAGCACTTCCACTGAAGATTTAGAACCTAACTTTGATGGCACAATATTTATTTGTAAAGCTTACAAGACCTAAGAAATTTAGCCTCTGCCTTAATCAAAGAAAGCCCAGACTATTTTATAGGGTTTCTATGTTTTCCAAGATCACTTCTGCCTCTCACAACAGCACAGATTCTTCAAGTACCATGCTCCTGGGCCTCTAAGGCTAGCAACTGGACTTACTATCTTTACTGAATGCTCTAATTGCACAGAGAGGCAACCCGGGAATGGCAGTAATACAGTCTTACTCAATGCCAACCTTCCTGCAGGGTTTCACGGGGCTCAGGCTATTAAGAGTAGCCACCTACAGTCTATTCACAGAGCTGCATTCTTTTAAGCAACAGCAGCTGTATTCCCCAACTATCATCATCAGAGGTGTAACCCCATCCTCCCAAATGTCCTTATTTTTCCTACCATTCTGACATTTTCTTTCCTGTACACACAAACTACACCAATAATATTATAACGCTTAATCTACCTGCATGTATCTGTGCAGAAATACCTTTGTTGCATTCCTCTACACTTCGTTTCTAAGAGGTGTTTTGCAGTCATTTCAATCTGTCTGTGTTTTTTAAGAAACAGCAAATGATCTCAGGTGCACAGAAGTATATTTCATTTGATTTCTAAATGATGGACTGTTTAGGCTTTTCTGCTCAGTTTGATTTTCTGTTTCAATTCTGATCTTTATTCTCATACCTACGTGCAGAAATACTCTCAACAGGCTGAGACTTTGCAGTTATTTGCAGCAGCAGCAATTTTCTATTCTAAAACAGCAGCCCAATTAACAACAACAAAAAAATCAACTGCAATGTGAGGCTTTCTATACCAAAACATTCCATTGACAAAAAAAGATTTTGTTAGGGGTTCTAAGTGAAAAGAAACAAAAAAACCCAACAACAAAAAAACCACTATTTTTTGGAAGGTAAGTATTGTTTTAGTACTCTTGGATCTGCCATGTATTTCTAGAAACTAGCTGATAAAACCCCAAAAGCACTTGGGAGTTAGCTACTTATGCCATTCTCTTTGAGGAGACCAGCAATTCTTTTTAAAAACTACTGCACTGCAAATATTAATCCAATCACAACCTAATTAATAGGATTAGAGATTCAAATGGCCAAGCTTCCACTGACTTCCCAAACTAATCAAGTTTATTACATTTTTTCAACTTAATAATACAGCTAGCAAAGATAAACCCATTTATTAAAGCAATTTTTGAATACATTACACATCCCTTTAAGGCAAATAGTAGTCTAAAAACTAGGAAGAATAGCAATCAAGCATAAAAAGAATCCAGTCAAACCCAGATACATTTTGAGTATAGTATGTGTGCAGTACATCTGCATGTTAAGGACATTATGTACTGCGTGCTGTACATCTGCATTTTAAGGACATTCTGTTCACAATGGAACCTGGTTATTTCATTTTCTCCTCTCATATGACTCACACTATCATGTGTTGAACTTTCCCAATGTGGCACACTTTCTGTATCACTAAACTTTAGGTCATAGGAGCATGGCAATGAAATGGGCAAGCAAATGGAAAACTACCTTTGCTCCTCAAAGGCAAATGCACATACTGCAGATGAGAAACGATGAGAGACCTGGCTGGTGGCAAATGAGGGTAGTAGATAAAAGAATTTGATCACTCTATGATCCCTTAAATAAATGAAGAAAAAAAAAAAAAAAGATGTATTTATTCAAGACCAAATCAGCTGAAAATACCCCAAATGCTGAAATTCTGAGCATGGAAGTGTTTGTGGAATGGATGATCTTTAAAACTCGTCCTTAAAAATAATGACAAAGTACATTAAAAAAGGGAATTCAAGGAACCTACAAAGCTCTCTATGAAAAGACATCTTTGCAGTGAGACTCTATCTTGACCTTGCTTATAGTAACAGTTCAGGCAGGGGAAACGCCAGAAGAGGTCTAATATATTCAATTTCTTTCTGGCTCCACAAATGTAATTCTGCTTTAGACACCAGAGGAGTGGTTGGATACATTGGCTTTTCCTGCTTTCCATCTCCTCCAGTGGACAAATGAGCGATATATGCTTGCCAAGCTTAATGCTTTCTAAAAAACTGTTCCCTCTTGAGTGAGTGTGCTAAAAAATTGTTTATAAAACCAGCTGTTTCAAAGAAAGAACAACTTTAGTTAAAAAAAAAAAAAAAGTTGGAATCCATACTTGGCCACTTTTTTACTCATTATTCTCTTATTAATGAACATCCTGCCCTGGAGAGGGCACTCTGTGACCACACTATGCATTCTAGTATCCTCATTAACCACCTTTTAGTTTTAACCCAGATATGCTTGTGATCCTAACAGATTGCTTAGCCAGTATACAGCTTATGTCAAATGTAAATATATTAAGAAAGGGAACCATATGGTGCCATGCTCATCAGTTCAGCCCAGCAACATGTATGAAGTCCTACATCCTGCAACTGTGTTTTATTATTAAAGATAGTATATTATGTGATTTTTTTTATGTACGAGGCATGTTAAAAAAGTAAAAATGTAGTAATTCTATAGTATTCTAATAACTGATAAGTTACACATGTTGAAAGCTTTCTGTTAACAGTGTTTCTCCCAGTTCTTCCATAGCAACAGCAACCACAAAAAAAGTTCCTCTGGTATACTTTATTGATGTTGAGGGAATTAATACAGATTGTACACTCACCAGAACAGTTTAAATTTCATTTCTGGAAATACAGAACCACTTTCTTTTCCAGGTATTTCCTCCAAAAGTATGTATTAAAAATAATGCTAATCACTCTAAATCCTAGTATACAAAATAAAACCATACAATAAAAACACGTGGAACACTCTCTGTGCTAGGCAAACCTTTAAACATACTTCAAGGCATAATTCAATGCCGAACTGGCAATTTGGCGAAAAAAACCCTATCCCTATAATCTGAATACTCCACATACTCCATAATTATCTAGTTTGCTACGTTCCACCACCCCTCAGAGGCAGAATACTGAAGATGTGAACCACTGTTCTGAGCCAGCCTAGCAAGTACTAGATGCAAGTGTTTTCCATAAGTGAAAAAAGAATCCTAATAATACTAAAAGAATCACCTTTTTTTAAGCAAAAACTTGTAACAGCATAGTGCTTTGGCTTCCTTCCTAACTAGGCTGTAAGAAAAATAAGGTAAATACTTTTGTACTCAAACTGACTCATCTTGCAGAACTTCCAAATTCGTAATTTAATGGCTAACTTCATAGCTAAAATAGTGTGTGACTATGGTACACTTCGATTAAATGCATAAGCTTTGTTTTTAAACACTGCCTGGATATAAACTGACACCAGTGCAATAGAAGATCAATTTAGTAAAAGCACCTGGATGTCCAACACTAAATTTCTATGGTAGTTAAAGTACCAGTCAAATAAACCTGTCAGCAAGGGCCCAAAGGAAAATAATAATAAAAAAATTCTCCTTTCACCACAGAAGAGGCCAGACACATGTCAGTAGTTTCAGCAAAAGAGACTGAAGCCAAATTTGTGCAGGATTTGCAGATACTAAGGCTGAAAATTAAGATTTTCCACCTCACACCCAGGCCTGTCATAACAGTAACGGGTTCAACAACTCCCCATTTTCACAGCTGATAACCAGTTCATTTTCTTATTAATTTTTTAAGAGGCTCCATTTCTCTCACCCAGCTGCTACCCTAACCCTTTTTTCTCATCCCCCTCCATTAAAAGTTTCCACTTCCTTAGAGCACCTGGCACACACTGTTCTCTCCTTGCTCTCAGATGCTTGTCCTCAACCCTTCTTCTAATGAGAGCTTTTGTCACATCCCACTGCAGTCAGAGCTTCAGCTCTTGGCTCTAAGGCAGAAATACACACCTTCTTACTACACCCTTTAAGTAAGGATTTTATTATTTTTTTCCCCATTTATTTCGAGTTCAGGAAGCTGTAGATTTTCTAACAGGTGCTGAACTCCTGAACAGTCAGAGGCACTTCATTCATTTCCTGTAATAAAGCATCTGTAATAGAAGTGGCACACTACCAGCATAACACCGAATTAGTATTTGTCCACCATAGAAAGCTCTCATTCTGACAGTAGCATATTCTCAGAGAGCTATATAGATGCTGTATGTGGAAATGCAACATTTATCAAGTAACCTTAGAAAAGTATCTGATGGAATACTTCCTGGGTATCCATTAAAAGCTTTACAATCAAAATTATTGACCCTTTGAAATCTTTACTCTGACAACTGAACTGTAAGGCTTAATAAAGTAAATCTGCATGGCTGAGAGGAATTTATAGCTGCTCATATATAATACCATCAGTACTGACGGATAAATTCACCCACGTTGGCATTATTAAAAAATGAGTGGCATCATCACTTTGGAAACAAATGGAGAGGTGGGAAGAGAGAGGTGGAAAGGAACAGAGAGGTGGGTTGGTTTGGAGGTCAGACACCGACTCACTGTAGCGTATGCTTCTCCTCATATCATATACTGCCTGTTTAACTGACTTCAAAACTTAAAATTTAAGACATTACATTAAACTTTGACAACAATCTTGTACTGCTAGCAAATGAGATTAACTTTTCCTCAAAACATAGTAAGTCTATTCAATATTCATATTTCTAGAGAAGATGAAGATGATTATTTGATCATCAGAAAAAGATTAATAATCTCAAGAAAAATTGGATTATTGAAACCATAATATTAATCCACAACATTTGTCATAACGTTAATGAAAATAAAGTGTGGTGAAAGAATAATTCTTTCTAATATACTTTTGCACAACAATGTGCAAATGCAGAAAATTAACTGCAGTTTTTTTCTCACAGTGTTGTTAATTCAACAATACTATACAATTATATAGTATATTACGTACGACTTTCCCAAATAAATCAGTTAGGAACACATTTTAGAGAACCTGTCTCTGGTAAAATCTCCCAATGCAATGCAAAACTACACAGATGACTTTCTGCCACGCGGTAGTTTTTAACAACTATGGCATATCTAGTTTCAAAAGTAATGAATGCCTCATTAGCTGCCTTTACAAAGATAACAATTTGAGAACCACTGAGTTGTCTCCACTAACCGCCACTATTTTCATCCTCTTACCGGTTATCAAGGCAGAGTGATAATATCCACAGGATACAGAAGAAACAGGTTTTCCAACATCCACTTGACAAGGGACATTGACACAGGCTTCATCAGCCAAGCCAATCTGACCTTCTGAATTGTCACCCCACACAAAAAGCTGCCCATCTTCTAAAATGAAGACACAGATAGTTAACAGATTTAAAACCAAAACTAATTAAAAGTTAATCTACCCATTTAAGAGCATTTCATAAACACTATGTATGATACTACTAAATGTCATAATCTCAGGGACATAAAATGGTATTTAGCACAATGCTACACAACAGTTTGAAGCAAGAGGGTATCCCTTAAGCTTTTCAAAAGTGACACAGAACATTTAGTCATCAACTGATGTTAGACTATAAATAGCAACAGGAGAAGTACTGTGCAAAAACATTCCTTCAAAAAGAGGAAAATCAACCTTATAAGACAGTTCAGTTGCCAGAGGTCAGGATGAAACTGTTACGGTGAATTTGAGGCAACTACTCATTTCCAGCAGTAAGTCACCACTTTCTCTTTCTTCCAAACTTATTCTTTGTTCTGACTTTCATAGAATCATAGAATCATAGAATGTTTTGGGTTGGAAGGGACCCCTAGAGGTCATCTAGTCCAACCCCCCTGCAGTGAGCAGGGACACCGCTAACTAGATCAGGTTGCTCAGAGCCCCGTCCAACCTGGCCTTGAATGTTTCCAGGGATGGGGCCTCCACCACCTCTCTGGGCAACCCCTTCCAGTGTTTTACCCCCCTCATTGTAAAGAATTTCTTCCTTATATCTAGTACTTTAGTACACATCCTACTTATTCTTGCCTTATCTTTCAGTTCTCTTCACAGGTAACTATATTTCCCAGTTTCATTTTGCTTTCCTTAAACTATCACAATAGCTGTTCCAGGTTTATTAAGACCAGCCTCTGTTGACACAAAGACCAATGGCAGCAGTAAAAACCAAAAAAAGGTAGTGAACAACATGAAAATTCTCTAGATTTTTCTAGAAGAGATGAGCTTTTCTCTCTGCGTATTTCTTATTGGTGGGAAATAAGTTGTGAATAAAAAAAGGTACCGTCTACAGTGTTACTGAGATGCTGTTGGGAACTAAAATAATTCAAAGTTGACTCACAAATCTCAGGAGAAAGTTAGCAATTGTCACAAAAAGTACAACCCAAACAAGCAGGCTAGCATCTCTCTCATTCACTCTTATGCTCTCTGTCACATTCTGATACGACAGCCTCAATAATTTATCCTAAACATGTACAGAAACAGCTGCTTTATAGCAAAACTTGAGAAATTACATTATAGGGCAATAAAGGACCACCCATCCAATGCCTGAAAGTACTGTGTGGACTTCAACATGTCACAATTGTATAATTTTGCCATCGGAGAAACAGGTCATAAATTAGGCCTCTCTCAGAATTAGAAATGACACAGCTCTGTAGCCTGTACCAGTAGACCAAAATAGTGGAGTTAGAGAAACTTAGTTTTCTTAAGATTCATGTTTTGTAGCTGGCTTCCCTGGAAATGAACTGAAGAATTTTCCCATTTTGAGGGTATTGATACTGTCTCTCCTTTGTAAGGATTCTTACTAAACTAGTACAGGTTGAGCTCCCATTGCAGGCCATGGCTCATGGAAAAGGTCTACTTCCACAAAAATTGTAGGAAGTTAATAAGACTGCCACCCCTTAGTAGATTGCGTTGAATTAGGCAATTGGCTATCAAAAGAAAATAGACCCACATATGCAGACAGAATGCTGGAATAAACGTTTCCCTGGAACACCAGGCTGGACACACATAAATAGATCTTATTAGCAGTTGCTCTTACCAGTTACTGCCGCTGAGGTGTACGATCCAGCTGCTAGCTGTTTGATCTTGTGCTGGTTGGTAAAAAAACTAATTAAATGAAATGTGGTCCTTTCCTCTGTGTCACCTAATCCCAACTGACCTTCACTGTTACCTCCAGCAGCATACACATTTCCTTTTTCTGCACACAGAAAAGCACATGTAATACACAGAATGAAGACATTCTCATCAGCAGTAAAAAGTCAGAGAAACTGGAGCAAGTCATTTAAATTTTGATGGAAAAACATTACAAAAAAGTTGGGCCCTCAGATATCCTCGAGTTGACATTAGCAGTTTCTGTTGTAGCTAGCAAGGAGGCTTTCCTGCACATGCTTGGATCAGAACTTTCTAAAGGCCTTCCATGTACTTAGACTATGTTTCCCACCATTCTGGAGACTGATCTAAAAAGTAAATATAATTTGAAGTTCTGCAAGAGTTCTGAGAAAATGACTACTTGTAGCCCTGGCAGCCAGAAGCAGCTCCTTCCCCAAATAATGCCTATTTTAACATAAAGCAGGAGGAAAACAGTGAATGATGTCACAGGCAAGAAAACTGAAGTTGTATTTGTACGTAAATTAAAGAAATGCGTGAGTTGATAGTTTTGAGTACTGTGAATGAAATACATTTTTGCTTAGGTTTTAATTAGAAACATTTTACTCATTTTAATATTTAAATCACTTCTGATTTAATTAACAAGGCCTTTATTTTGTTTTAGAAACTTAAATTGAAGTTAAAGCTGATGATCGATATTGTCAACTTGAAAGAATTTTAAGATTTATCTTTTTAATTTTAGTATGTTTCACATCTAAAGTGCTCCTCTATGATGAAAAAGATAAGACCCATTAATAACACAAATCCAGACACAAATGTGATAAGCAACTGACATACAATTTATAAATGGTCCTTGCTATACACATGGCCACAAATTATCTAGCCGGCGTGTACACTAAAAGTGACTAATATTTACCCTGTGCAGTCTTGCATACTCAACTGTTATTAAAATGTTCTCTTTTATTCTAATAGTCTTATTTACAGTGCTCAGGGTCTCCACATATATAAACCTCCTAATAATCAAACTATCCTCTTTAAAACATTACTGCAAGCTAAAGGATTGCAACCACAAAGATGGCTATTGCATTACATAAATTCTAGAAGCGTGACAAGAATTTGCATAATTCCTCTGTATAGTGTCTCACTAAAATGTTATTTTTTAGTTTAAATTTACAGTTTATTTATTTACAGCTCAATAAAACAACTTGTCATTAAAATAGCAGACTACCTTGTCTAACCAAAATGCAACAAAATGTGAAGACTTGAAAACATTCAGTTCTACTGTATTTACTCAAATATATAACTTCATACTAATAAATTACTTGTCAATGATAAATTTGAGCACAGATCTATAAAAAATACTAATATACCTTTACAGGGCTTAAATGAAATATTGATAATTGTTTAACCACACCTCAGATGCCAGCAAGAAATTTTTTCATCTGTCTGTTGCCAGCAAACTCCTATATAACATTATTTTATAAATGCATTGGCTCAGAAAAAATCAAGCATTCAAAGAACCAGATATCAACCCCCCAAATTTTAACAGCCCCATTTTAATTTATTTTTCCTTCCTTGACAGTCCTGGGGTTCCTAATATAATTTTGCATGAAAGCAAAGTAAGAAATCTATCTTTAATATGTATATAATATAGGTTACATACCTGTGTAAACTAAAGTGTGGTTTCTTCCACAAACAGCAAGTTTTGTTTTTTCTGGTTTTAAAGCTATGAATTAAAGCCAAAGGGGGGGGGAAAGTTACAAACAAGCTGACAGCTGGTTCAACAACAAAATGTTCTATGCTCTAGAGGGAGCCCTGATTTTTTTCATATTTTTACCAACAGAATGATTAGGAGATTTGTTGCCCATTTGAACCTAGCACATGACTTGTTAAATCAGGATTCTCCCCAAGACAAGAAAACAGATATAGACCGTAAAGACTTATAGCTGACACTCAGGTTAATTTGATGATGGCTGCTTCATCCCAATGCCACATTCCCCAGAATTTGCCATTTATGGGATACACCTCAAAGAATGTATCAAGTTGCACGACAACATGCATGCCTAAAGCTGTCTTCAGCTTTTATTAACAGTACTATTCCCAACTCCCTCTTATGCTTTTCCCACTATTTTAAATATTTAAAATCATACCATTCTTTTGTCTTGTCATCCCTACCTTCCTTTGTTATGCACAGCTACCTTTTTTGCTAGACTTCTGCTCAGCACTGCCCTCTTATTGATCACTAAACTCAATTGCTAAGGACAGTCCTATCTGGACTAGTGCCTACAATTTTTGCATATACCATCCTGTCTCAATTTCAGCTCAATTACCACCCACCCATTGCATATACCTCTTTGCAGTCTGGTCACTGTGAAAGACTGGGAATGTATGCAAGAGGAGTGAAGAGTTATTTTGGTGGGAAGAGAGAATACAGAGGTGCCTTTTTTCCCGTGGCAAGGGCACTCCATTTCAGAAACAGGAAAAAAATCTCACCGACTTTTCCACCCTCTCTCCAATTACTGATCATTGCCAACAATTTATCTTCTCTCAGCCATGTCCATGTGCCCTACACAATGCTCTTAAAACAGCATTATTTTTACATATTATCTTTAATTGCTTTTCCACTGCACTAGTCCATGACAAATCCAACAACCACCATCCCTTTCACAAATCCTTTTTCAGTCCTTCCAAATCAGCTTTCATCAGCTCCATAACACTCAGATTAAAGTCACTTCTACCAAGTCACCAAATAAATCTATCTACTGAAGCATGAACTGTCTTTGGTCTATCACACAGACACAAACATAAATTATCCAAATTCAGGTCCCTGCCTATGCTATCCGACACCTGCCACTTCCACCAGGCTGGAACTATAAGGCTTCCAATGTTGGCTTCTTCCTGCTGCTTTGCACACCAAAACTGCTTCCGACTTCAGAGATTTTCTTAATCAGCTCTAAAGAAGCCTGTGCTCCCTAACCTTCCTCCTACTTAGGCTAATCAATTGATTAACTGTATTTGATGAGCCACGCTATATTTACAACTTTGATGGCAATTTTTCATAACCAATTTCATTAGTCTCTAGCCAAGTCCCAGACAATAATTTTCTCAGAAAACATGCAGCCACAACCATTTGGCCCCAAGCAGAAACTGAAATGTGTCCTTGCAACCCTATTCCCAAAGCCAAGTGATGACTGAAAGCCACTGAGAAAAGCTCCAGGACTTTCTCCTGCTGCCTACTGCCAAGAGGAGAAAGATAACCCCCTTGTGACTTTTTTCAGTGGATGCCAGGTCTGGTTTGAATTGCTGTCATCTTCTCTTCATCTTTTATTTTCCATTGCAATTTGACAGTAAAACCAAAACTTGACACCCAGTCCATTTAAGCCAAGGTAAGAATCAATCTCTCACATGGCTGACAGAAGATGCGTACCTGAGAGTAGCTGCATTCTCCCTCTGAAGTGAAATAGAGAGAGGAGCAGATAAAGGACAGTAGAATAAACTAAATCAGGAAGAAAAGAATTTGAACAAGCAGGATAATTTGGTTTTAAAAATAAGCTAACAGATCAATCTGCTGGCAGAAAGGACGAAGATAAACATTTAATGGTGAAAAGAAATGTGTTAATGGGATAGATCTGACTTGACATAAGTAAGGGGATATAGGGAAAAAGTATTGACTTAGTTTTGTTTGACAAGATAAAACCAGCCAGGAAAAGATCAAGAAGATATCAGTGCAATGAAAACGTATTTTACAACACATGAAAGAATATAGGCATTTATTTTACTGCTTCATACAAATATATTAACATTTATGCTCCCCCAGACACTTCTTATACTTGCTAAAAATGTAGCAGCACTTCTAGAAAGTTCCTGATAGAATTTTTCATTTATAAAGGTGCTAAGACAAAAGTGATACAAAGGTTACACAATGCTGTTGGAACTCTTCTTTCTAATGCACAGATAACACTGCAGAGACCACGTATCTGATTAATGTCTTCACAGTCACAATGAAGATGTGGTTTGCCAGAAAAGGCAAATATTACATACAGTGAGAGCCCTCAAAAAAGACAGGATTCTATGTATCTGAAGTAATCTTCAAGCAGAAAAGGGCACAGAACCTGGAACTGGTGGAAAATCAGCCAAGGATCCTTTAAAGCTACCTTTATGAGCTTGTGCAGTAATATGCTACACATGATGAGTAAAGAAGACAGAATCAGTTATTTTGAAACTGCATCTTATAAAGTACCTTTTCACAAGGGTCTCCTTTCAGAAAGACAAAAAAAGAAAAATTAAACAAACCTTTAACACATGTTGGTTTGCTGACAGTGTTCTTTGATCCTAGTCCTAATTGGCCCCAGTTGTTACTGCCAAACATGTACAGTTTACCATTACCTGAAAAAAAAAAAAACGCAGAGTCAGAATCCGTACAAGTGTTAGAATACTTCATGTAAGACAAGATGGTCATTCACACACTATGCTATTTATTACTACCTTTTTAACATAAGGTTTAAGGTAATTCAATACTTAAGTGTAAACAATAACTAATGTCCTTGTGATTTTTCACTACTAAAGTTGTAATTGCATTGTTTAAGTAAACCCCCAGCCAGAAGAAGGGACAAAAAGCAGAACAAACATCCTCTCCTTTAATTACAGCACAGATAAAGTGCTCTTCAGAAAATAAAATGTTGTACTCTTGGACAGACCCTGCAGTTCAGAAACCACAGTATCTATAGGCCTACTTACAAAATAACAGCACATTTAACTGAGCACTCACATCTTTTACCCTAAAGACAGGAATGAAGAATGCAACTATATAACTAATACAAACAGAAATGTGTAACATTCATCTTCTTTTATTGTTTGGAGGGGCTATTTCTTTTACTGCTAAATGTCTTCTCATAAAATGATTTACAAATTTGTAATTCTACAGAACATAGTTTCTGATAAATTTTCAAATGTGTTCACAAATTGTATTAATTTGTTACTCTACATATAAAGAAAAAATGCATAAAGACACTGTGCATGCAGTCAGGGAGTTTTGTAAACCTAAACACAAGCATTAGATTACACATCTTCAGCAGAGGCAAAGCTAGAATCGTACTTCAGAAACTGGTATGGTGTGTCATTGAACTTGCAGGTTTGACCATTACAAACAATGAACTGTTGTCATTCCGAATAACCAGTGCTTTTTTAAGAGGCTGGTATAAGAACAGACGAAACTTTTGTCATCAGGCATGCAAATTAGACAGCCAAAACTGACTACTGACAATACCTTAAAATGAATTAATGTAATTTAATTTTTTAAACTATTACCTTTTGTAAAGCTGTGAAGTTCACACCCAAAGATAAAAACCTCATTCCAACAGAAATCTTTGCAAAACAATAGAAACTGATTTGTCAAAAAAAAAAAAACCTTTTAAAACTGTTAAAAGGACTTTGTTGACTTTTGATGAAAGCTTGCAGAGCTTTATGAGTTAGACTCCATCACAAGGCTGTCACGTAAATAAACTTTGTCACCCTAGCCATCAACAATTATCACGATTGCAACACATAACAGCAATTTCAGATAACAATGCCAAAATATTATGGCTGCTTCTACTTCAGTAGTGCAGATTCCCAGTAAAGCTTCTGAATGTCATTAACAGAGACTTTGAAATATGATATTGAAATGTTTAAAATACAAGAAAAATACTCTGTTAAAAAAAGTCCATTTATTTTCTTAAATACAACCACATAAAAACCCAAACCACCACCAACTAACAATAACTAGTATCTAAAGCCCCAATCAAATTGTTAGATTTGACAATTTTTGAAATATGGGGGTGTGTGTGAATATTACATCTTTCCAGGAGAGTTGGAAGGGAAGAAAGTCTGAGGTCAAGCCATCCCAATTTTGACAATGCAATCACGTCAAAACACATGCAGAGCTGTCTGTAACTGAGAACAAAATGCACCATAACGGAAAGAATTTTTATTAGCAAATGGCATCCTGATGGTATATGCTTCCTTGTATCCCTGGTTTATACTTTTTAGCTGCCTTTGTGAGACACTAGTATTCCTGTGGGAATATGATGCCAAGATGCCGTAATTCAATTTAAGCACATTCTCTTTTATCTATTCAAAATTCCAACAGGTCATGCTTTTCATCCTATAATCTGCTTTCTTATACCAGTCTTTAAATTCTCAGGCATTGCTTTGTAAGTCAAGATGCTTACTAGATGAGAGGAAATTTTTTACATTCTTTTAGAACTGAGTGTCAGCCTTTTATATTTTCAGGCTTCCAACACTTAGCAGTGTAACAGAAAATAAGAAAACTGGGAAGCAGGTAATTCAGACAGTGAATGAAAACTAATAGGCACTACAGAGGAACCTAAACAAATGCCTGTAATGAAGCAACATTTCTGGGTCTGTACAGCAAATCAGGTTTTGGAACAGACATGATGCAATCTAAGCTGGCCAGGAAACCCAACAGAATTTTGTATGCAAAAGACCCTATATTCATAATTGCATACTGAGATATCTCCAGTCATCACCACAGATGCACTAAAGTGAGAACTAATTCAACAGCAGACAAAGAGGCAAGGATCCTATTTCAAACCTTTGCAAACTCAGATTGCTCTTGCCCTTTTGCTTCCACTTTGGTGCTGACATACAGAGATTGTGGCCACCTGCCATCTGGAATGGCTGGCAGAAGACAGGTCCGACAGTGAGATTATGGCTCTGGGCAGCAGAGGGAAACAACAGGATATAAAAAAAGGGGCTACTAGGACCATTTTGGTGATGTAAACATAATTCTAACACCAGTATCCACCTTCATCCTCAAGCAAGACTGGAGCATTTCTCCAAAGTATTCATGCACTGGCTTATCACCAGCAGGTATTTCACTAACATTAATTCAGGACTATTAGGGAAGCCAGAAGACACTTACATCTTTAGGAAGAGAGGATTGTGTAAGACACTTCAGGAAGAGAACATTTCTCATATGAGTAGCTGCTATGACAACTGTGATTCCTGGCAACCCCATCTGTCATGTGCTCCCCTGGTTCACGAAGCGCTACTAAAGTCATTCATTCAGCAGCTGGGAAATACCACCTGAAGTCCTCAACATGCTTCACGATAACAGCAGGCAGCCAAGTATTCCTATCACCTACGTTTAAAGGTATGTTTTACATATTCCCGCCATTGCTTTCTGAATTATAATAGTGCAGAAGGGAAATAAAATAGGGAGACAATGTACAGACCTTGAGCATTTATTACAAGATTCTGTTGAGAAGCTATATCTGAAGAAAACTCATGAGGTAATATTTTGGACAGAGTTATCATATGCGAAGCACCATGACTTTTTTTGTATTTATTTTTGCTACTTTGTGAATAAACTATGTTAACAGTTCATTTAAAGTTCATATACAATTCAAATGCATCTCATGAAAATAGGAATGACATCAGTTTTGTTAGGCAAGTCACGATATTCTCAAAAGCTTTATTGAGCAATAAGAACAGACATGCTTAGGACATTTAGCAACACACAAACAAAAACAGCACAGTATGTTGCCTGCTCCTGCACATGTCAACACAAACACGTACTAATCTTTCTCATTTTCCCCTTGCAGCTGATGTAAAACATACTGCGCCATGTTATGATGGCCTGCTGGTAGGCAGAAAGAATAGAAGGAATCTGGTGTCCAAAGACTAGAGAGATTCCAAGGTCTCTTTGGTGAAAACTGTTGAACATTTAATGCCTTACAAAACTTGAAATCATGACCATACTATCTTCTTGTAGTTCCATATGCATCTCTCTTCGCTCCTACTTTTACACTTGATAACTTCTTTCTTTCCTTCTACCCTCTTGCATTGCAGGCTTCAATTCTCTCCAGAGCTGAGTTCAGAAAATGTGTCTTCTGTCATCACCATTTTCCCCTTTGTGAACAGGATCAGTCTCTTTGATCAAATGTGGGCAAGCTGCCTAGGATAGTCTAATCAAGGCAAATAAACAATAAGACAGCTGTTAACTTTAAGAGTTTTGTAAAAAAGAAAATTCATAGAAAGGTATTGGGAGGACATTCTTAAAAATATGCGTAATGTCACTTATTTCACACCAGCTCCCAACAGGATGAATAAATTGCTTTCCAAAGCCTGCAGTTATAAAACACGCAGGGAGTGAACTGTCAGTATTCTTGGGCCAAAAAATGTAGAAATGGGGCAAGAAACATTATTAAGAACATTACAAGTGATGCTGGAAGATATACAGCTTATGACTGGATTAAAGAACTAAAGAATTCCAGCTTGAACATTTTAATGAAGATTGTGCTAAAGTTAGAGAGCGAATGAATAAAGAAACACAAAATTCAATCCAAAACTCCAAAACTGGAGGAAGAAATATTTCTCCAACTAGCTCAGCAAGCCAACTCAAAGTCAGCAAGTAACTATCACTGGTCCTTTCTATTCCAACATACAGCCATAATATGTAAATAAAATGTTGGACTCTAACTCCTGACCTAGAAAGCCAAAGAACAGAGTGTTTTATATTTAATTTACACTTTTCTTCCTAAAAGTCATATGAGAATATTGATGCTGGATTAGGTTAAAGAAGTATGTGAAAATTTCTGAATATTTTGTTTGAATGCTAAACATTAGTTCCTGTACATTTTCTTCATTTGCATTCACTCAAGATTCAGTGCTAGATGTAGCTGTCTCTCCTGCTCAAAATCAGCTTTAAGGAATATTTTGTATCAGTTTGGGTGATTGTTTTACTTATGATTGTTGAGAAACGTTAGCGTAAAACTGATATATTTCTATCAGATTTGAGTCTACTTCATATTCCCACCATCCCCTACATACAGAGGTCCCACTATTTCTTCCAGGAGGTGGGAAAAAAAGGAGGGGGGGAATTTTGTGACCTGTAAATAAAGATTGAAAATAAAATGAAGCATGCATTAACACACACCTGCACGAGATGCTTTTCCTTCCTCAGTGATTTTTGTCCTTTATCTCTTCTATGTCAGGTTCAGCTGGGCTTCAAGAAGCTCCTGGTTTCTTGCAGGGTCTGTACCCTTCTCAGTAAACTCATTATCGGCATGCTCTTCTGGAGCTTTTATTCCAGGCATTACTGCAGTTCAATGTCATTCATCAAGGGCTGCAATTCCACTGTATCATCCAACTCCATCTAACAGCAGAAATGTGCAGTGCGCACAGGCATGCACAGGTGTGAAGAACAAATGAGGGACAAAGATTTTCTGTTGCCCTTCTTCGCTTTTCTGAAAAACTCTTGCGGTTTCTCTACCTTTGCTTGTTGATGATCAGTATTTTACCCTCACTTTTGCCTCTACTTTACAATGTCCCAAAAAACTTCTTGGTACCAAAGAAATTTTGTACTCACGCTTCTACAGTTCCTTCTCCACACAAAGCTTTGAGAAAATAAAGATCTGATTATCTAGAAGTTTCCCTGGTGACATAACTGCACACTACAACAGCAAAAGCCAGCTACAGAGACATTTTTGAAACATGTTGTATATACTAAAATAACAGGGAGAAGGGGAGATAGAAGAGACATGGTGCTGCATGCAAACCTCTCCGAGTTGACTTCTTCAAAAGCTTTATCTAAGTGGCCACTATTACAGTGACAAGGGAATTAGGGGATTGATGCTGATTAGGGTAACAGTGCTGGCAGACACAGGCTGCGGTAACTCAAGGAGGCAATTTAAACTGACTAGTCTAAGCTGAGAATTATACCAGTGTTATTTCAAACTGGGTGTGGGCATATGAAAGGATATATCAAAAAAAATTTCAAAAGGAAAATTTCACAGTGCCCCAGGTTACATTCTGATTAATTTTATGCAACAGGCAATTTAGTAGAACTGGTTCAATCCAAGAAAAAGTGTCAAGTTTTGTTCAAAACACAAACCATGAATAATTCATCTTTATGAATTAGGCTTGAAAAATTCATCATATAATTTCACTTCAAGATGTTCTGCAGTCCATGAAATCTATATTATTTGTTTATCATTCCCAGAATTGTTCATTCTAAAAATCCAGCATCTTCCACTTTGCTTGGGGACATAGCAAGAAACCCTCAAGAAATTATTTAATGAGCAATGACCAAGTGGGCATTGATGAGGAATAAATACATTCCAATAAAAAGGGTCCTGAAAATATGCATATAAACTTCATAACAACAAAGTCTTATTATCTATCAGCAGTTGATTGTCAATACAATCAACACACGTGCTCATCAACAAAAGAGTAGTCCCTTCCATGTAAAATAAATTGAACAAGTTCTTCAATGAGTATTGCTTCCATCATTTCAAAGAAATGAAAATGAACATAAATATTGCTCACTGTATTGCATCTGAGCTTCTTTGAATGCTTTTGCAGTTTATTTCCGATTCTAGTAGGATTTTCTGAAGATTTTTGAGTTGCTTTCAGTTGACAGTTAACAATAATTCAATCTCAATTTCAGAGGTACAATTTTATCTATTGTTTCAGGCAGATTCCTAATGAACTTGTTGACTGTGTTCAACAGATACTGTTTCCTTCCATGATAGAAACTTCTATATTTAAGACTGCCTACTAAATACTGTCAGATTCACAGGAAATATTCAAGCTGAAAAAAGTCATGCTTACTTTAAATCCACTGTGATACATTCAGTTATTATCTATTCACCCAGGACAGTTCTTGGGCATGTCTTGTGAAAACCTTCAGTGACCTCACACTAATTTCAAAGGCATCCGATAGCCCCCACAGAACAGTACCTTCTCCTCTCCACAACCCATTTGATATACTACCTCAGGATTCAAATAAGAATCATAACTTTCCAAGCATGTAACCTTTTATCATACACTCCATTTCCAACACTGACCTGTAACAATAGCGGTATGTTCATCTCCACACGATATATGCACAGGCTTGTCATTTTTGAACCAGAACTTGCTAGGAATATCTTCCGCAAATCTGCTTTTTCCAAATGTGAAAAGAGCACCTGATTCTAAAACACAAAAAGACAATGTCAATTTTAGTGAAAAAAAGTTTTGCCTCACAGATTTTGAAATAGTCATTTCCCGTTAATTCAATCACACATTTTAGTTTCTCATCTCTTTCTTTTTTTAAAAAATGGCTGAATCTATTCTGTTTCACCAAGACTACTTAATTTTCAGGTTCACATTTTAGTCCTTCTGATTCTTCTTAGTCTCCATGAATTTCCCAATAGAATATGTATTGTTGCTGCTATATTGTGTTCTGCAGATACTGTATTGGGTTTGTGTGGCAAGGTTTTGGTAGCAGGGGGAGCTACAGGGGTGCCTTCTGTGAGAAGCTGCCAGGACCCACTGCTGGCCAAGGCTGAGCCCATCAGCGACAGTGGTAACACCTCTGTGATAACATATTTAAGGGGAAAAAAACTGCTGTGCAACAGCAGCTGGGAGAGAGGAGTGAGAAGATGTGAAAGGAACAACTCTGCAGACACCAAGGTCAGCGCAGAAGGAAGGGGAGGAGGTGTTTCAGGTGCTGGAGCAGAGGTTTCCCTGCAAGCCCATGGTGAAGCCCACGGTGAGGCAGGCTGTCCCCCTGCAGCACATGGAGGTCCATGGTGGAGCAGATCTCCACCTGCAGCCCAGGGAGGACCCCACACCGGAGCAGGTGGATGCGCCCAAAGGAGGCTGTGACCCCGTGGGAAGCCCACGCTGGAGCAGGCTCCTGGCAGGACCTGTGGACCCATGGAGAGAGGAGCCCAGGCTGGAGCAGGTTTGCTGGCAGAACTTGTGACCCTGCAGGGGACCCATGCTGGAGCAGTCTGTTCCTGAGGGACTGCACCCTGTGGAAGGGACCCACGTTGGAGCAGTTCATGGATGACTGTCTCCCATGGGAGGGACCCCATGCTGGAGCAGGGGCAGAGTGTGAGGAGTCCTTTTCCTGAGGAGGAAGGAGCAGCCGAGACAACATGTGATGAACTGACCCCAACTCCCATTCCCATCCCCCTGTGCTGCTCAGGGGGAGGAGGTAGAGAAAATCATGAGTGAAGTTGAGCTGGGGAAGAAGGTAGGGGTGGGGGGACGTTGTTTTAAGATCTGGTTTTATTTCTCATTACTCTACTCTGACTTCTGATTGGCAACAAATTAAATCAATTTCCTCAAGTCGAGTCTGTTTTAGCCATGACAGTAATTGCTGAGTGATCTCCCTATCCTTATCTCGACCCACGAGCCTTTCGTCATATTTTTCTCTCCCTGCCCAGTTGAAGAGGGAGAGTGATAGAGCGGCTTGGTGGCCACCTGGCATCCAGACAAGGTCAACCCACCACAGATACAATAATTTATTTTAAAGTACATTTACTTTATCACTACCCTCTAAGAAAAACTACTAGGTGCATAAAAGAAAGAAAAAATAATTCTGCATAACTGCCCCCAGAAGCTAAAATAAAAAGCTCATACTGAAAGCAGGTCAAGACAAAGAGTTCTCACTTACGTTTATTCTTGAATTCAAACAGGTTTTCCAAATTGGATTAGAGAGAGAGACACACACAGTAAAGAGGTGACAGGCTCCAAACTGAGCACACTTCTCACTCATCTGAGAAGATACATGTAGTCTAAAAATGCCCCCCTAAAATCAAAACTCTTAGCCTTCAAAACATGGGTTGGCACAACTATCTTTGATCATAAGACCACGACCTAAAAAAATCAAACAAAAACAACCCCCCCAAAAAAATCCAGACAACTCTTCCACCCTTGTAATCTGTCTATTTTTCTCAATTCTTCCTACTTTCCAAAGTGTCAGCACTGTTCTTTTAAAACATAAAACGTTAATCATTCATTCACCTTTTGGTCAAGCATACGGCTTGACACAGAAAATATTAATTCTACAGGAAAATAAATGACCTCACAAGTTAAATAATTTGCCAAAAGCCATGCAGACACTGTGGCAAAGCACAATTAGACCCCCTGTTTTAAAATGTCAAAATGTGTGCTTTAAGCATGAAATCATTCTTTGGAAAAGAAAACAAACACTGAAAAAAACAAACCTTTTCTTTGCAGACTTCCTGTTAACATGTAAGCTACGATAGCACAAATACACACAGTAACATTAGGCTGCTTCTGTAAAATTGTATATAATTTGATGTTTAATGCTGTTTAATTGAAAATAAATACACTGAGATCTTTGATTCTCATCAATACTCTGCACCCCAGCTCCAAACCCCAAAGTTCTCTCTTAAACTGTAAATTTGATATGTTTTGAAATGACTCTTTAATGCACAAGTTTCCCATATTTGCAAATGACGTTATTTTATGTCCCATGTTCAGCAGACATGTATAGAATTTTAGGTACTACCTCTCTAGGTGTGTTTCGCCATTTTATTAATAACAAGCCTTTGCGCAGTCAAATTTAAAGAAAGGGTTGAGTTTTTTCTTGTTTTACGTAGACACAACTACAGCCACAGACATCCTAAAAGGCATCTGGAAACATGATTTTGTTTTAAATCTCCAGGCAGCCAGCCACGCTGCATATTTGAGCACGCTTACAGCGATGCCTTTGGCACTCGTGCCAATGTTGAGCCCTCTGGTTCGTTTCTTCTTTCAGAAGCATTAACATGAAAAAATACACATATTCTTAATTTAGTGTACACAAAAAGCAGACCATTTAATTCACAAATGTCCTGCACATCTCACGAATTTCACAACTGAAACCTAAGCCGTCAGTTTAGAATTTACACCCTACCGATTCATAAAATGAAATCCCACAGAACATAAATAAGGTTTTTACTGTAAGGGCACCGAGTAAATGTTTAAAAATTACCGTAGGTCAAACCACAGACCAAAACTCATTTATGAACCGAAAAAATCTGCCTGCTTGACACTGCACCACTATACCATGCCGGTGACGACAGCAAAGTTGCCCCCGTCTAATCTCTGACGTCAGCGTAACGTATTTCTCCCCAGACGCCGGAAGACACCGGCCCGAGCCGGCGGCCCGCAG